TTTTTCTTCTTCGTATTTTTCTCTTTATCTGTCTGTTTATATTTTTGTTTCCTTTCCTTTTCTTTCGCTATAAAAAGTTGTATTGTTTATTTTATTTCCTTTGTTTTTTTTTTCCCCCCTTTCTTTTCTCTTCTTCACCAGTAGTAGAAGAAAGAAAGAGAACCCTAAAAAAAAAAAAAAAGTACACAAACACTCCCCCCTCCCCACTACAATAAAGGGAGAAAGAAGTAAAAAAAAAAAAAAAAAAAAAAAAATAATAATAATAATAATAATAATAATAATAATAATAATAATAATAATACACCAAAGGAAAGAGACTGAGAGTGTTCGTGTCAAACTAGAGTGAAGAAAATAAAAAGAAAAAAAGAAAAAAGAGAATAGAAATAAGCAACAGTTCTTCTCCCTTATTTATTTATTATTATTATTATCATCAATACAGCAAGATGGATTCAATCTTCTCTCATACCCATCAGAGTTTTTAAACATGTATACAGAGAAAGAAAGAGAGAGAAAGAGAAATAGTAGGCACATTTATTAAATCTCTTTTTTCTTCTTTACTCACATACCTTCTTACAAACTCCATATACACACAACACTAAGAAATGGAAAACGGAACAGAAGGAATAAAAATTGAATAGAGATAACCTTATGTATTACCCCCAATTAAAATAGAAAACAAAAAAAAAAACAGAAGGAAAACATTTAAAAACAAAATGAGAAAAAAAAAAAAATAAAAAAGAAATGTCACGTGACCAGTTGGTCCCTTATAGGTTGAAGTACGCCAAATATATGACTCTAATAATAATAATAATAATAATAATAATAATAATAATAATAATAATAATAATAATAATAAATCTATTGTAAAGAAATCCATCTAACTTTCCCTATCTCTCACTCTGTTTAGATCGCTTGCATATACAAATCCTCATTATTAATATTTCATTTCCCCACTCCATCCCTCTTTATTCATACTGTATACATTTGAATATATATGAAAGTATAAATGTATGAATCTTTACAACTCCTCCTCCTCTTTTATTCCTGCACATTTTCTGTTATTTTATTTATTTATTTTTTTATTCTTTAGAGAGTACAGTAGAAACAACTCCAAGAAGGAGAGAGTGAGGGAAGAGAAGTACAAAAAAAGAAAGAAAGAATCATTTGATCTAATAGAAGAAAAGAAAAAAAAAAACAATAAAAGTATAGGAGTATCTACTCTAGACTTCATTCTCTTCCTTTTAAGTACCATTACATGGTTTTTTTTTTCAAAGGGAAACATTTAAAAAAAAAAAAAAAAGGAATACTATGCCTTTCAGGCCAAACACAATAAAATCCACCAATTGACTCTTGCAATCATATTAATATTATTAATATTATTATTAAAACTCTTCCAAACAATAATGATTACACTTTTCCCGTGGATTTATGTTTACCGTGTGTTCCTGTTCGGCGTCCCAAACCTTCTCCCACTCCACTAGTATCATTATTCTGTTTGACAAGTACACTCTCTTCTTGCACAGACTCTACCGCCTCTTCTTCTTTCTTCTTTGATGACTGTTGTTGTGGTTGTGGTTGTGGTTTAAAGAGAGTTCCCCGCTGTGTTAACGTCTTCGCCTCCCGCATGTTTGATCCCACACTATTAAACGGCCGCCGCAGTGTACGCTGCGTGAGAGAAACATCCCCAACAACACCGCCGCCTACATGCGATTGATCGTTTGGTTTTGTTGGTTGAAGTCGTCTTGAACTTCCGGCCCGCCGTACATTTAATGCTGGCAGTTGCAATGGTGATAATAAAGATGGAATGGCTGTTGTTTTATTGTTTGTTGATCGAGCTGTTGTTGCTATTGAGATTGTTTCTCCAGTTTCATGTACACGGGCAGCAACGGCACGCATGACTTCATCATTAGATGAAATTTCATCTTGATTGGAATCACTGGCTGTTGAGATTGGACTCACTGTTTGACCACGGGAGTCATCCACACCATTCACCTCCGACTGATAACGGCTATAGGTATAAGGATGCGTATGTATACTGTTCTTTTCTTCTTTTTCCTTTTCCTTTTCCTTTTCTTTTCCTTTATATTTTCCTTGTTTTTTATGTTGAGAATTGGTGTGTTTCTCTCTCTGGATGGTGATGTCTGTTGTGTTGGCATTCACGTGGGAGTTGTCTATTCCCACACGTGAGACCTCCACTGGTGTACTCACCGCCTCTGATAAATGTTTGGCCGTACTGCGAAGTATCGTGTGGCCCTCCACTTCTATACTATTATTACTAATATCAATCTTATTATTATTATTATTATTATTATCAATCTTATTATTATTAGGAGTGGGGGATATAGAAATGGAAGTTCGGCGTCGCATACGTTGTACAAAGAAGGAGTTATCCGCCGGCAGTTGATCATTATTATAACTGTTGTGATGTGCAGATGAGATTGGGCCTGCGGTTCGCTCAGATATTGGTTTTAATATAGATCGCGATACCGCAGTATTCCCAACATTTTCTCCTCCCATATTCGCAAAGGGTGTACATGTGAGATTTGTTGATGTTGTTGTTTTCATACAATGAGCGGCATTAGAACTCGCAGGACTAGGAACTCTATTATTATTATTATTATTATTATTATTATTATTATTATTATTATTATTATTATTTCCATTCCCACCACCACCACCACCACCATCATGCAAGAGACACTTCTCCAGTTTCTCTATGATCCCTTGTTGAATTTCCATCTTCATATGTAATTGTTGAAATTCTTTCTGAACAATCCGCTGTTCCGTGCGGAGTTCATGTACGAGTCCCGCTAATGACATTAAATGCGAGTGAATGGTGTAGTTAGATAACAGTTCTCTCTGTGTGTGTTGACCCTTCACACAACTCCCCATAAGTCTAAAAGGACAAACCATTACAGATTCATCCTCATATCCATCATAGGAAATATCCTTATGGCCTTTAAGGGCACGAAATACACTAAGTTGATCTTCTGGTAAAGTCTCATTGTTTTCCACTCCTTTTTCGTTTTTCTTTTTCCCTTTTTCCTTTTCTTCTTCTTTATCTTCTTCTTCCTGTTGTTGTTGTTGGGAAAGGAAATGATCAGGATTTAGGGCTACAGGTAGACACTTTGTACGTGGAGTCTGTTTTGGTGAAAGAGATACGGGTGATAACACCTTTGAGGGAAGACTTTTCCCTTTTGTAGACTGTGTAGATTCTTCTGTTCCTTTAATACCTACTTTTCCTCTCATTGTTGGTGTTGTTTGGTCCATACTGTTGTTTATATTTATATATTTCTTTTCTTCTATGTTTTCCTCTTCACTTGCCTCATCCTCGTCTGATCCACTCAAGGAGACTACAGTAATCGCACATAATGAGTCAAATACTTTCTGATGTGTTTCCTCAGCACGTTCTCCTTTCTTCTTTACTTCTTCTTCTTCTCGTTGTTGTTGTTGTTGTTGGGATTCATTAACGTTATTTAAATGAGATGAAGCCAGACCTTTACCCTGTGGGATGTTTACATCCATTTCTGAAAAGACTTTACCACTACTACTGTTTTGATCTGCAGTATTGGCAAAAGATCCATTTATTTTATATTTTTTATTTCCACATGACTGTTGTTTTGGTGGTTGCGTTTGGGTGTTATTTAAAGGAGGAACTCCTGTTCTTCTGAGACTTATATTCTCATCTAATGGCTTGATCTCTCCTGTATTCATTGGGGAGTCAATATATATATATATATATATATATATGTTTATGTAAAAGGAATAAATTACTTTTTTGCTTTGTTTTTTTCTTTATTTTTCTTTCTTTTTTTGTTTGTTTGTAAATTTCTTGTGTTTGCTTTCTTGTGATTCTTCTTCTCTCTTTCTCTATTTCTATCGCAATAAAAAAAAAACTAAAATAATAACTTTAATAATAACTTTAATACTAAAAATAATAACTTTTATTAATAATAATAATAATGACAACACGTCAATAGAGATGAGATTCTTCTTCTATAAAGCTAACACCACTATCACAATCCCCCTTTCCCAGAACCCCCAAAAAAGAAAGAAAAAAAGAAACAAACAACAAAGAAATAATAAAAATAAAAAAAGTCAGTAAACAACAATACAAATAAGAGAAACTTTTAATTATTATCCGTTTCATTCACGTTATATTCCTTTTTGTTTGTTTGTATGTTCACTTTCGTTCTTTCGTTCCCTCCTGTATTTCACACAAGATAAAAGAGACAACAGCAAGGAAAAAAAAAAGCAAAAAAAAAAAAAACAAAAAACGATAATAGTGATAGTACACACTGTTAAGATGGACATACTAAGAAGATAAATAAACTCCTTTATATATATATATATATATATATTCTCTATTATCTCTCTCTCTCTATTCTCACTGCCCTTTCCTCCCATCCATCTGCAATAACAACTCCCACTCTTCCTCTGTGTATCCCACCGCACACAACTTACGGGCCACAAACCGCCGCTCCTCTTCACTGAAAAGAGACGCCGCATCCTTTTCACTATCACTACTAACCGCACTCTCAAGCAGCAGAGTACCCAACTTCAACATTAACGCCTCTTCTTCTTCTTCTTCTTTATTATTATTATTATTATCTACCGACTTACCATCTTGGCGATCATGAACATCATGTTCAGTACAGGCAACATCAGCCGTAGTAGTAGTAGTAGTAGTTGGACCTCCCTCTTCAGATGTAATGAACTTCCGTGAATTGTTTAAAAAAGCAAAAGAACGTGTAAGAGGCGCTGGTGGAGTGGAAGACGACATCTCAACAGAGTGAACATTACTAGATGAGATGTGATCGGGTAACATATATGATTCCCCACCCACAGTTGTAATGAAAAGTTCATCCAATGTCACACAAACAAGAAGTACCGTTCCTCCAATAGGACCACGAAGTATATTTCGTTGTTGTAACTTCGCATACTCTAATGAAGTTGTGGTTGAATATGCAGAAGAGTTCGCACTCATATTATTATTATTATTATTATTATTATTATTATTATTATTGGTTTGTGTAGAATGACTACCCATCACAGTAGAAGAAGGTGTTAGTTTCACTGGATGGGTTGAGGATCCACCCGCTACAATGGTAAAAGATAATGCATCTGGCTTTACACGAGACTCTATACACAATTGTTTACTTCCATCCACTGTATAGCAGAAACCATCATTTGTAATGAAAACACTACAGAACTCATCATTCTTTATACAAAAGACACGAACTCGTTGAACAAATCCACGTCCTTTAAGTTGACCCATCGCAATACAGTGAACATTGGGTTGTGTAGAAATAGTAGGAGTTTCATTCTCTATCTTTACTTCTCCTTTTTCTTCTTTTTCTGATGTTGATGGGAGAGTTTCCTTCTTCTTCTCATTAAACATGGACATTTCATATATAAACCAACGTCCATCTTCAGCGGCCACTACAAACTGCACTTTTGTTTGCCCAACAGCCACATCTACTGCGAGAGGCAAGTGTACATCCTTCTCGGATTGTTCAGAGAAAACCATCTGTTCTTCTTCCTCTTCCTCTTCCCTTTTTCCTTTTTTCTCTTCTCCATATTGTAATGCAGAAATAGAAGGAATATTACTACTAAATCTTAAATAATGTTTCTCTGCTTGTCTAGTGACAGAAGGTGAACGGGAATCCTCATTTAATAATGTCTGTCCAGTATCAAAGGATGAAAACACTCGGCTATTTATGGAGAAAGTCTGTAAACCACTATGAATACTCTCATCTTCCATGGGAACAGTCGGTTGTGGAATACAATGAATAGATTCCTGCCAAAATGGATTTAAAAAGAGCATTCGAACTCCTAAAGTATCATTACCGGATGATTCTGGATTTAGTGTAGTATTATTATTATTATTATTATTATTATTATTATTAGTATTCCCTACAACGGCCGTTTGTTTTCCTATTCGTTCGGGTACCATCACAAAATAAGATTGATTGGGTCTTTCCCACATGGCGATATCCGCACGTGATACTTTCAGTAATAGAATACGGCACCCACAAGCAACAAAAAGAAAAGATGTACATCCCATCGTGTGTTTGGCTAATCCAGACTCACTACTACCATTCCCAATAGTATTAGAAGTAGATGTAGGATGATTACTATTATTCGTATACACTTGATTTGTTGTTGTTGTTGTTGTTTGATGATTATTATTATTCATAACGTGTAATGGTATTTCCATGGAAGGTGCAAACGCAAAACATTTCATAGAAGTTACGGGTGATTGTAGAAAGAGTGATCCAATACAGACACCACCATCCCGTAATGAGTATGCATATACTCGCCGGTCATAGGAACCAAGAAAGATAACACTACCATCTTCATCTGCTGTGATATCACCCGCAATACAATTCGTAGGAACCCCAAAGACTAAAGAAGGTAAACAAGATTGACTAGATGCCGCGTCTCTATTACCCATAGACATGGGATCCATATTATTTACACTTCCAATAGTGTTATTATTATTATTATTATTATTATTACTATTATTGTTGTTGTTTCTACTCATCACAGATGCAGATCTTCCCTCACGTGGATGTGTATTAACTGTAAAAGCAGAAGAAGACTTTGGTATTCGGGTTCCATTATTATTATTATTATTATTATTATTATTATTATTATTATTATTATTATTATTAGGACTCTCTACAAGGAATCCTTCCATCACTTCACACTGTCCCTCAAGAGTTACGAGTACAAGACGCCTGTGAGTTGGACTATACATCAGGACAGAAATAGTGGCCGTAACAGAACAGGCGTACACCGGCAATCGATGATCACACTTGACGACTAACAACTGCCCTTCTGTTGTGCCGATAATATATTCATCCAGTCCATCACCATCCACATCCCAGGCAATAAGTGCGTTTGGCATAATAGAACCCTCTCGTGCGAATTTACGAAACTCCCATGAGTCTATTTGTATAGATGGCAGTCGGCGTACAGCCCCAAACCCAGTTTCATCATCATTACTATTATCATTATGATCACTATTATTATTATTATTATTATTATTATT